GGGGCCCTCTTTGCTTCTGGAACAGTCACGCGACCGAACCCTGGAGCGCCCAGGAGATCCAGGAATCGGAGTTGTGACGCTCCAGCTGGTGCCTCAGGGCACAGTGGCGCATAGTGTATAGATATTCGATTACATCCACACCTTCCTACCCATCTATGTTTGTTGATCCGAAACCCAGGGGGGGAAAGGGAAATCCAAGATCCCTGGCCCTAGGACCCCTCGGACGCCACTGCAGCGGGTTCCCGAGGCCTTCCAGGCCTCCTGGACGCCCTTGCCGGGTGGCCAAACGGCCTTCGGAGAGCCCCAAGGTGCCCCAGACACCCACCAGACGCTTGAAGACGGCCTTCAGAACACTTCAAAGAGGCCTTCGAGCCCAAAAAACATTGTTTCCTTTTTGCTTGTTGTATGACTGTTTGATATTCGGCTCTTGCGTCCTCCAGACGCCCGAGACCGCACAGCCTAGGAGACCCCAGAAGCTCAAAATTGCTCCCAGACAGTCCAAGGGAGCCCCAAGACGCCCCAACAGGGCCCCAAGATGGCTCGAAGAGAGTCCGTGACAGCCCAAGATGGCCCCAAGACGCCCCCCGACGCACTCCCAATCGTGACCTGGTCATTGAGGGAGACCGTAGTTCGCAGCAAGGTCCTGAGGAAGCCCCTGAGGCCCCCAAGAAGACGCGAAAAAGTTGCCGCCAGGCCCCCAAGACGCTCTCCCGGGAGGAGCCTCTGCAAAGACAAATTGAGCAGGATTGGGAAGGGTTCGCAGGGTAGGGCGAGAACGAGCAAGTGGAAGAGACAGATTGAGGGAAGAACAAGGACAAGGAATTACATCATTGGACCGACGAACACGAAAACAGCAGAAATAAGTTATCGCTACCATCACCTATTTACCGCTCTCTCTCTCTCTCTCTCTCTCTCTCTCTCTCTCTTTCTCTCTCATTCCGCCTGCATGCCAAACTCGACGGCTCAAGGGCGCAGTCTTCTATAGATATCGGAGGTTGATAAACCTCCTACACTGACACGTCGATAAGCGAATTGGCCGTTTTCGGTTCGCGCGAGGGCGTCGCGGCCGTCATTTCTGCGGGTCCGGGTCCGTCGATTTCGGTCCTGGGCCGTTTTCATTGAAGGGTGGTCTACTAAAGGGAGGTGTGTCCACCGCCGAAAATGCTCCCGCTCGCATATTTTATTGAATCGTTTCGCTCATTCCGCCGGCCCGTGGGGGCCTCTTGGAGGCCTCTTAGGGCCTCCAAGAGGCTTCTTGGAAGCCTCTTAGAGCCTCTTGGGGGCCTCTTGGGGGCGTCTTGGGGGCCTCCTGAGGGCTCTTGGGGGCCTCTTGGGGCCTCTTGGGGGCCTCCTTGGGGCTTCCTGGAGGCCTCTCAGGACCAAGGGCTCGAAATGTTTTATCGACCCCGAGACCTCCGCAAATGCTGCTAGAAAAACGATCGCCTCCGGGATCTCGGGCCCTCCGGGGCGCCGCTGCAGGAGGGGGCTCCCCAGGCCCTCCGCCAGGGCCTCGTCGGCGCCCTCGTCGCGCGGCCCGGCGGCCCGTGCCGTCGGGCAGATCTGTGCATACATCTACAGACATATACATACGTGTATACATAGACACACACACACATATACATATATATGTATATATAACACACTTGCATATCGAGGTGTATATATATATATATATATATATATATATATATATATATATATATATCGATATACATATATGTATATATGTATATGTATGTGTGTATGCATATATCTGTGTATATACATATATATATATATATATATGTGTGTACGCGTGCAGTCGAAACCGATGATAAGGATGGATAGCCTTCCCAAGGGTACCCACGCATCCGTGCCTGTTTGGCCCATCCTTGGCTACGGTCGGTGGCCCGCTGCGCCCAAGAAGGCTTCACCACGGGCGTCCAAGGGGCTGCATCCTTATCGCGCATGCTCACTATCAGCTTTGTTTGCACTTACATATACATAGAACTGTTCATACTCTTATGTTTATATAATGTGTTTGCTGATTTACAAATATGTGCATACATACGCATATATATATATGTATATATATAGAGAGAGAGAGAGATATTAAAAAAATCATGAGGTCTGGGCGCCGCCGTGAAGCAGTGTCGGGACCTGTTTGTATTTCGACCCTGACCCTACGGATCTGCGTCACGGGTGCCACCGAATTTCAGAAATGTAACAAATGCTTTTTGTTTTTGGACCCTGACCCTACGGATCTGCATGAAGGGTGCCGCCGAATTTCAGAAAAGTGGCAAATCCCCTGTGTTATTGGACCCTGACCCTGCCGATCAGCGTGAGGGGTGCCACCGAATTTCAGAAATGTTGCAAATCCCGTAATTACTTTTTGTTTTTGGACCCTGACCCCGCCAATCTGCGTGAGGGGTGCCACCGAATTTCAGAAATGTAGCAAATCCCATATGTTTTTGGACCCTGACCCCGCCGATCTGCGTGAGGGGTGCCACCGCATGTCAGACCCTGACTCTGCGCAGAAATGTAGCAAATCCCGTTGTGTTTTTGGACCCTGACCCCGCCGATCTGCGTGAGGGGTGCCAGCAAATTTCAGAAATGTGACAAATCCTTTTTGTTTTTGGACCCTGACCCCGCCGATCTGCATGAGGGGTGCCACCGGATTTTTAGAAATATGGCAAATCCCATGTGCTTTTGGACCCTGACCCCGCCGATCTGCGAGAGAGGTGCCACCGCATGTCAGAAATGTGGCAAATCCGCTGTGTTTTTGGATCCTGACCCCGCCGATCTGCGTGAGGGGTGTCAGCGAATTTCAGACATGTGGCAAATCCTGTTGTGTTTTTGGACCGTGACCCAGCCAATCTGCGTGAGGGGTGTGACTAGATGTTAGAATTGTGGCAAATCCCGTTGTGTTTTTGGATCCTGACCCCGCCGATCTGCGTGAGGGGTGCCAGCAAATTTCAGAAATGTTGTAAATCCCATGTTTTTTTTTACCCTGACCCCGCCGATCTGCATGAGAGGTGCCACCGAATTTCAGAAATGTGGCAAATCCCTTGTGTTTTTGGACCCTGACCCCGCCGATCTGCGTGAGGGCTGTCAATTTTTACCCACCCCAGCAATTCAGACAACACGCTCAGGGCGTGGTAAAAATGCCCGTTTTGGGCCTCCCCCCCTCGCGCGGTCCATCAACAAGGAACAGTAAGCAGCAGAACTGCAACAGTAAGCAGCAAGAAGCAGAACTGTAACAGTGGAAACTGGAAGCTGCAACTGGTACAGGAAACTGCGAACCTTCTTCCTACAGCCTGGTGGCCCACAAGGGGGCCGGCGGAGAGAGAGAGAGAGAGAGAGAGAGATGTATGTGTATATATATATATATATATATATATATACAAGACTGCATTGGCGCTGCGCGCCATGCACCTTGGTCCTTTGAGTTCTGCACGCAAGCGGAATGCGTGCGTGCGTACATGCGCGCATGCATGTATACACGCGCACGTGCATGCACGTTCCGTATAGATGTCTAGGTGTATACAATATGTTTACATTGTTGTATACAGCGTACATATGTACATACACATTTATGTGTGTAAGGTTTATGAACATGCATATGCAGCTCGTACGCGGCATCCTCGGGCATCTTCGCTGCATGCCACGAGACCCTCAACGACTGGGTCACAATGTGAAATGGCATGGGAGCAAAATCAATGAATGCTGGCATTCGGAAACATCGTGGGGATGTTTTCGGGGCCCTCGTGGGCCGATTTGGCGCCTTCATGGGCCGTCCTGGGGCCTTCTTGGGCCGTGTCGGGGAGCTTGGGCCCGCTGGAGCCCCCTTTGGACCCATCTTGGGCACTTCCGGGGACCTCCCATGGCCCTTTTGGGTCTGTGCTGGGAGCCCTTGGGGGGCCTCTTGGTTCCATTTTGTGCTGTCTTGGGGCTCTCGTGGGCGATCGTGGGGCCCGGCTCGGCCGTCTTGAAGCTTTCTAGGGGGCCTTTTGGAGCGTCTTGAGGCGATCCCGGGGGCTTTGAAACCGTCTTGAAAGCTGATGAAATCCGCAAGGCGAATATGCTCAAATTGTAAGTTTTACAAAGGGAATGGAACGATTTTTGTATTTTGAAGGCCCCTTGGAAAGTTTTTTGGGATACCTTGGGGGTCTTTCTGCTGGCATTCGGAAACATCGTGGGGGTGTTTTCGGGGCCCTCGTGGGCCGTTTTTGCGCCTTCATGGGCCGTCCTGGGGCCTTCTTGGGCGGTGTTGGGGAGCTTGGGCCCGCTGGAGCCCCCTTTGGACCCATCTTGGGCACTTCCGGGGACCTCCCATGGCCCTTTTGGGTCTGTGCTGGGAGCCCTTGGGGGGCCTCTTGGTTCCATTTTGTGCTGTCTTGGGGCTCTCGTGGGCGATCGTGGGGCCCCGCTCGGCCGTCTTGAAGCTTTCTTGGGGGCCTTTTGGGGCGTCTGGAGGCGATCTCGGGGGCTTTGAAACCGTCCTGAAAGCTGATGAAATCCGAGAGGCGAATATGCTACAATTGTAAGTTTTACGAAGAGAAAGGAACGATTTTTGTGTTTTGAATGCCCCTTGGAAAGCTTTTTGGGGTGCCTTGAGGGTCTTGTGGGCCGTCCTGACGCAATTGGAGTCCCTCTTGGAGCGCTCTTGTGCTGTCTGGGGCCTCCCTTGAGCCTTTCTGACGACCCCTCGGATCGCTCTGGGTCTGCTGGCAAGGCGTTTGTGGAGACCCGGAAAGCCGGGTGACCTTTTCCAAGGACGTCCAAGGGAGCCCGAGAACCCAAGATCCCAGGGGTGCAGTTTTGGGGGGAGGGGGGGGGAGGGTTTCCTTTCCCGGGCTTGTACAAATATAGGAAGAGAATAATATATATATATATATATATATATATATATATATATAATATATATATATATATATATATATATATATATATATATGCAGATGGTCGGCGGCGTGCTTGGCGGCGGCAGCGCCAACGCCAGCCACTTGGGGCGCGCCGAGGCAGCAACGCGCCCAGCGAGTCTGCCGCAGGCCTCGCCGCCGGTCTGGAGGCTGCCCCGGGCCGCCGCCGGCGCCGTCGGCTTCGCCGCTGTCGATTGTCTCTCGGGTCGGACGGGCCAGGGCTCCGACGATATGTGGCGTTTTGGGGATCCCGGCGCGTTTCCTCGACGTCGGCCCCTCTTGGGGCCCGGCATCGGGCCTCGGGGGCCACCAAGAGCCGGCGCGGGGCGGAGAAAACGGGCCCCCGGGGAGGGGGTCGGGGCCTCTGGGGCCAGGCATGGAAGAGAATGCATCGTCGGAAGTCTGGGAAAGGGAGGGGGGAGAGCAGGGGCAACGTTAGGGGGGGGGTGGGCTCCAGGGGGGGGGGGGGAATCGATCTCTCATCGCTTTTTCATCGCCGATCGATCTCTCATCGCTTTTTCATCGCCGATAGGGGCCCGATGGCCCGCCCCGCCCAGTCACGTACGGACCGGACTCGCTGTCGGGGGCCCAGTAAGGAACAGTGATGGACCGCTCCGCTCTAGAGCACCTCCGCCCTGAGGGCTGGTGGGGTTCACTCAAACGTGTCCCTCCCCCTCCTGCGCCCGACAACCCCCCTCCTCTCCGCCCTCCTCCTATTTCTTCAATTCCTCCTTGTCCCCTTCCTCCTCCTCCTCCTCCTCCTCCTCCTCCTCCTCCTCCTCCTCCTCCTCCTCCTCCTTGTCGTGGTCCTTGTCGTGGTCGTCTTAGTCGTCATCGTCCTGGTGCCATGATGGGAGATATGGCTTCTTGGAGCCACCTTGGGCCATCTTGAGCCATCTGGGTATACGTTCTTACCTGCATGACGCCAGCCATTCGGGCCAGTGCGCGAGTCCAGGCGACAGGGATAGATCGGATGTTCGAGAAAGTTGTCCGTCCTCCCGAGGGGGACGCGCGGCATTGCAAATGTATTGCGAGTGCTCGTGCGCGCAGCATGGTCACACGTAGTGGCCAGGCACGCCGTAGAGGTATGTAAGTCGCAACGATAGTCGACAGGCAGGCAAGCGGCAGCCCAACATGCACAGCGTCATGTTGAGGAGGTTCCGATTTGCTTTACTTCCCCTCACTTTACTAGGCTCCGGGCTCCCCTTTACTTCTGACGTTCTGGGCTCCCCTGTACTTTTGCCGCTCTGAGCTCCCCTCTACTTCCAGCTTCAGGCGTCGGGTTCGTCCCGCTTTGTTGTCGTCGGGTTTGGGGGTGCATTCCCACAGCGATTGTGGCACTTTATGACCGTTCGGCAATGCGCCACGGAAACAAATCATTGTTATTGACAGTCGTTGGCGAGAAAGATGAGGAGGAGGAGGAAGGGCAGGGCTGGATGACCAGAAAGGCCCTGGGAAGATGAAGAGAGACCATTTTGACTGACTCCATGTACGGAAGGTTCGCGACAGCCGTATGGGAGGACAAGGGAGTCGAAGGAAAGGGGGAAAGAGGATGACGAGGGCGACGATGATGATGGATGATGATGATGATGATGATGATGATGATGAGGATGAGGATGAGGATGAGGATGAGGATGAGGATGAGGATGAGGATGAGGATGAGGATGAGGATGAGGATGAGGATGAGGATGAGGATGAGGATGAGGATGAGGATGAGGATGAGGATGAGGATGAGGATGAGGATGAGGATGAGGATGAGGATGAGGATGAGGATGAGGATGAGGATGAGGATGAGAGGATGAGGATGAGGATGAGGATGAGGATGATGATGATGATGATGATGATGATGATGATGATGATGATGATGATGATGATGATGATGATGATGAGCAGCAGCAGGAGTCAAGGGGGAGGCTGAGGGTTGATATAAAGTGTTGTTTTGGTGTTCGTTTGTGCTGGACGGGGGGAATGATGAAGCCGAGAATGAGGAGCAAAGAGGAGGACGGTCGTGAGCACGGAGCTGGATGACCAGGAGGGCCCCAGGAAAACGAGGAGGGACCATGTGAGTGAATCGGTTTCGAAGTGACCGCTGATGTTGCATGGCACGACGAGAAAAGCCGAGGGAGAGACAAAACGACAAGACCATTGGCGAAGCGGTTATCAACAACACGACCACTGAACACCAGAGGAGCCGATTGCACGCTGTAAGGTTCCTCCACACTGGCTTTCGCCAGCTACGCTCCCAGGCACGCCCGAGGACCACCGAAAAGGTTCCGCAACAATTTTTGGCTCAAGCACTTTTGGCCCAAATAAACCACATGTCCAGGCATGTGGCCATGTCAGCGTGCTTGGGGGCGCGAGGTGTGCGGCCCGCGACGCACGGAGCTGCTCGGGTCCCCTATTCGGCCATTTGAGGGCTGGCAGGTGCCACGGCCTCGCCCTCGCTCGTTTTGTTTCCGTGTACGCTACCACCTCTCTCTCTCTCTTTCTCTCTGTCTCTTTCTCTCTCTTTCTCTCTCTCTCTATTTGTCTTGCTCTCTCTCTTTTTCTCTCTCTCTCTCTCTCTCTGTCTCTCTCGTTCTCTCTCTATTCTCTTTGTTTCTCTCTCTCTCTCTCCCAAGCGCGCACCATGCCTGAGCGCCGCGAGCGCCGTCGTGAATCGAGCGCGGACAGCCAGCGCAGCGAGGGCAGCTCCGGTTCGAGCAGGAGTGCTCCGGCCAGCAGGAGCCGCCGTGGCACGCGTTCGAGGCCGAAGCCGAGTTCTCCCGATGGCAAGCTCGGCAAGTTCCCGCGGCCCTTCTCAGGTCTCGGCCGCCAGCTGGCAGCTTCAGGTTACGACACCTCGTTGACCACGAACCGGATTCTTGGCTAAGGTGCAGCGCTGTAGCGACCTGAGCACGCAGATGGTGAGCCTCGCTCGACAGTCGGAGGAGCGGCTTGATTGAGGCTCTCGCGAGCCGCGCGATGAACCTGGGCGAGAAGCTCTCCGACCTCCGCAGTGAGATGGACCACCGTCTTTAAAACGACGCGAAGATCGGGACAAAATCGGATCGGGATAACTCGAAATCTCTGAGAATCGGCGAGTTTGGAGGATGTATTGGGCGCCGCGGCCGCTCCAGAGCGTTCCGGAACGTTCTGAGAGCGCTCC